GTGAAAGCCGATCCGGCGATCCACAGCACGAAGTTTATGTATTTCCTCAGCAACCAGCACGAATCAGCTCTAGGCATGACAAAGGAGATATCGTCCTCTTTTGGAAGGCCAAACAAAGTCATTGTGTTTCACAACAAAACAAAGTCTTTGTGTTTCACAACAAACACACATGGCGGCGGCGGCGGCAGCAACAACTACAGCGAGAATAGAAGTTACGCCTTTTCTTTGCGTGCACATTTGGGCGGCGTTATGCAAATCTTCCCACATCATGACATAGACATGTGGGGCAGTGTTAGAACGAGCCGTTTTAGGGGGGTGTGGTTGACTTAACTTTTATAAAGAATATCTCTTTGGATTTGAGACTTTAGTCTTTGCAACTTTACAGATCTTCTTTATGCACCAAGAGCTTGTAACACTCCAAAGAGAAAGGAAAACTTGAAATCGCATCATATGACACCTTTAACCGGTCAAAACTCCTACGATCGGTTAACGGTTAAAATGAGCATCCCTATTATAAACGTTCATTTTTTCATTTGTACAGGGCATTCATTAGCCCCTGAGTGTGTCCTTGTCTGTACCTGAACAATGGCGGGGTCCTGAGGCAGAGAGCATGTCGGTTTGGGAGGTTCACACACCGTCAGGTCTTTGATGTCACTTCCTCTGAATATAATATACTCAAATATCTCATCTCTGGGTGCGATGGGACGGTCCGTGGGTCGGTCCTCGGTGCCAAAGGAGCGCACTGCAACAAGAATTAAAAGAGCAATTCATGAGTTTTAAATGAGCTTACATGTAATGTGTCTTCCTCTGAGATTTGAATTTAATAAAGGTAATTGACTCTAATCTTCTTAAAATCAGACCGCTTTTGCACAGCAAGTAATCCAGTTAAGTCAAGTCTGACCTTTCCAAACAACAAACAGTGCTAATATATCCTCACAGTTTGCCGTAATGCTACCGAGAATCAAGTTCGTAAAAATTATAACATACATACCGAACTCTCAGGAGGACAGATAGTGGTTTATCTTTATGAATCATTTAAACATTTGTGTCTGGGACACCGAGTCTGGAGTACACTGAACTGTTAATATAATCTTAGCTTTATTGTGTGCTATAAATGAATAATGCTCATGAAAAGCAGTTGAGATAGTATTCTCAAATGAAACATCACTAACTAACAGTTACTATATAGTTAAACTAGTAAGTGTTAAGCTAAGTCAGTGTTTTATCACTATTTTCCCCACAGAATTGTATTTATTTAATTTAATAATTTCTCGCTCTCTAGAAATTATATAAACAATTATATATCATTATATGAAAGAAAACAATTTCTCTCTCTAGAAAGAGATTAAAAGAAAAAAATGTAATGAAAAATGTAATGAAAAAAATAAAACGTAATTAAGTTAAATAATTCAATAAAATTATTTAAAGCAACAAGCAAGTCTGTCAGTGTACTGCTTATTATACTCAAATAAATAAATGTAAAATAACTAAAAAATATTTTAAGAATGACAATAACAGCCAGAGATTTAACAGTGACCACAGTTTCAGCCAAAATATCAGTGACTACTAATACAAAAAAAAACTGTGGTAACTTTGCATTAGCCACCACTAACAATAACAATTTTTAAAAATCAACACAATAGTCTGCTTACACCGTTTCAAGGAGATCCCACATTTATACAATGATTTTACAGTAATAACAGAAACAGTGATACTTTGTCAGAAACTCTGGTTAAGTTCACAATAGTACGCATCACCAGACAACAACTATCAGCTGAACAGAGGGAGGAAATCCTGCATTAACCACACTAACATGCTGTGTGAAATCCTAGAGTCAGAGCAGCCAGCGTTTACACGGTTTAGGGCACGACAGACGCGTTAATCGTGCCGTTAAGCAGGTGAATACGGTGCACGGAATTGAACATACGCTCATGAAGCCCAGCGCGAGGCTACACTGCTGTTATGAAGGGCAGCTCGCTACATTTGAGACACAGCCTCGTTGCTAAATACGAACGCTTAACACGAAGCAAAGCCCGTGAGAAGCGTGTGTTGTGTTTGAGGAGTGTTGTTTACCTTTGGCGAGCGCGACGGTGGAGTTCTCCGTGTCGATGGTGTAGAGAATGCCTTCATACCGGATCTCCGCTTTACTGATCAGACTGATCTTACTGCCGATATACGGCGTGCCGCCGCTCATCGTTACACTAACGTGCGCTAAACCGAGAGAGCTTGCCTAAAAACACAGCTGCACTTCACAGCATCAACAACGGTTTGCTGTGCGCGAGGGTGTCTGCTAATGTAATATGGCCGCCTGCATTTCAGGCCATCAGGCGGAAGTGACGTTTGACCGCCTTCATTTCGTCAGTAGCAGGGTTTCCCAACGTGTCTTCTTCTTCTTCTTCTTCTTCTTCTTCTTCTTCTTTCTTTTACTGGCAACCGCACTTAACAGTGCATTACTGCCATCATCAGGTAGCTTGGATCAGAAACATTTCCTCTATCTTCTAACATTTTCTAACCCCCCCATTACAAAGAAAAAGAAAAAATAAATACACTGGCGCTGCGTGTTCAGCTCCTCCAGTTTCCACCCCAATTCCCTTTAAATCCCAATATCCCACTATATTCTTATTTACCCTTCAGACATGCTTTCCCTTCTACCCACACTATATCAGCATCTTCTACCTCTCTATTTATACTTATCCTACATCCTCTCCATTAAACCTGTATTATTCAGAAACTGAAACAACACATGTATCGTACTATTTCCTATATCTGAGTCTAATATATTCTTTAATGTTAACTCTTTTCCCTCATTCTTCCATACTTCTTCTCTTAGCACTTCTATTTCTTCATCATAACCCTTACAATTAATAATCACATGTTCTACAGTTTCACTCTGTCCACATTTCTCACACACTCCCGTTGGATGTTTAGATATTAAATACAGGGGCGTAATTTCCACTGGGGACAGGGGGGACACGGGTTTG